AATTACAGAAGGCATTTACAACTGTTTACCCCACATATGACAACACTGGCAACCTTTCACTGTTGATATATACTGTATGTGGTAAGGGAACAGTTATGGAAGCTATTACAAACTGTTGATAAATGTATGTTTCCTCTTACGTTTTTGAACCACAAAACCAAAGTACTCCCAACCACAAACCTGAAGATGAAAGGTCAGTACATTTTCGTATTTAGCCTTTGTCAGGGAGCCAAACAGATTTAATGAGAGGTCCTTTCTAGTGGTAATCAACCAATAAGAATCTTGACTGTATTTGTTTACATTTTTAGATGACTATTGTGTGCCTGAAGGACAGTAGTAAATAATGCAATACTTTGTATTATTATTTTTTCATCATAATTTTCATCATGTTTCAGCACCAGAACAGTCAGCAACAATTCAGCCTCGACAGGTAATAAGGCAGACTGTGGCAGCCTGATGTTTCTTACTTTCAATGTTTTTGTTTCAGACATTTTAATTTGTTTTTCCAGATAGTAATATCTGATGCTGAGGATGTGGATTCTCTTGAAACAAATCCAGCCGAGACTTCTTGCTACAGGTAAGTAAAAAATTGTAGTGACTCACATAATTTCTATTTAATTCATCAGGAAGAAATTTGTGTTTGGAAGATGTTTTAACATGAAAATTTTAATTTCCCATCAGGAAATACATGGACTTGTATGCACCAGATGTTGAGGAAGAGGATGAGGAGCTAGTTGCAGTCAATGTGGAGAATTTCCAACACACAGCAGTGTAAAATGAACTTGTGTGGCACTCCAGTTTTTATTGTGCAATATTGCTGGTATTTAAATAATTGTTCTTAAAGTGTGACATGTCAGGGATATCCATTTATTAGATCATTTTCTGTCATTACAGGGAGGAGATAAACATTACACTACTTGACCTTGTGGCAGACCTGTCACTTCCCATTGATCACAAAACAGTCTGCAGGTTCAACATCTCAAGGGCCAATGTTTGGGATGGAGCAGTCAGAGGTTTTAAGCATACAACATATTCTGAAACCTGTGACATGCTGGTCAGATTTACTGATGATGCTGGTGTTGTTGAGGAGGGAATTGACACAGGTGGTCCAAGAAGAGAATTTTTAACTCTGCTAATGAAACACCTGAAAGACTGGCCCATTTTTGATGGACCAGAAGGACATCGGTTCTTGGTCTACAATGCAAGTGGTATGCATAGGGTTAGATGCGTACTATACTAATGGTTGGTTAATGATAATTAAACATATATATCACGTGGCATTGTTACGGGGAGGTTCGAAGGCTCATGCGCGAGGCAACATGACAGGGCAGACAGGCAGTTTAAACAATAAATAATTTATTTGTTCACACAGAAACCGGTACAGAACTAAAAGAGATTGCTGGAAAAGGAACTATGTCTATAATGACAGAACAAAACAAAAACCAAAGGCACGGAAAAACAAAACTAGACTAAACAAGAGAATAACTAAAGAGGACACCAAAAGGTGTTAAACAAGGAGACTGACTTGAGAACCAAAAAGACTAGCAACTATGATACGCTAGCGCTACGCACGGGCAGGCGGGGTAAGCAAAACAGAAGTCTAGAACTGAAAAGCTAGCGGACAAAAGCTAACGACCGGCTAGTGCTAAGCACAGACTGGCGATCTAAATCCAGAGCGAGGAGAACAGACGTACGGACAGGTTGACTAGCGGAAGTACAAAAAACTAGCGGGACATACAGACTGGTAGAGTAACGATGCTAAACAGGAGGCTAATAGTGAGGCTTGCTAAACCTACGCTGGGAGAACCCGACCTGAAGGGAACCGACTGAGAGGAGAGGGGACGCAGGGGGGAGAGTGGATGTGCTGAGCGCCTGGCGTTGCCGCGGCTGCGGTGGAGCGGCTGCCGAAGACCGGGAGCGGATGCCAGGGAGCTCCGGGAGGGAGAGGTGGACGGAGCTGGTGTCCGGGCTGACGGGTGGATAAGAGCGGGCAGGTGACAAGTGTTGAATCCGGTTTCCGGGGCAGGAGTGAAATGGTGACAGAACCGGTGAATGGTTTGACGGCGTGGTGCTGGAGCATTGTCTGGCTGGAGCTGAAATACCAGCAGACCGGAGGTTGCAGCTGGAGCGGACCAATCCCCACGCAACAATCACCAGATTGGCAACGAGGCACACCTGCCTGAGTGCTGGGACAGCAGAGAGAGAGAGCGCGCCAGAGAGAGAGAGCGCCGGGCAGGGGCCGAGGCTGCAGGGCCATGACAGGCATATGCTTTCCCCCTCAGTATCTTAACGTATATAATGTATTGTGTGTTTTAATTTTGGGATATGAATTCATTCACAGCTGTAAGGGAGGATGAATACTTCCTGGCAGGAAAGATGATTGCAGTGTCAGTTGTACGTGGAGGTCCAGGACCCCGTTTCCTGTCAGAAGATTTTGTGCATTATCTTGCTGGCCAGCCTTCGTCCAGATCAACAGCTAATTTAATAATCGATGAAGACATAGGGAAAGCTTTGCGAGAGGTGAGAATAGCGTAAAGCTACGATGTGGTAGGACAGAGTTTTACATTGTTTCTGTTGTGTTTTAGGACAGTGTTACTTCCAATATCACATACACAGAATTGGCTTCAGTTTTTAGTTTTTGATAGGGTAGGATTACACCAGGCTGTGTATGTCACCGAATAAAAATATGCAAAGATATACACTACATACAGTTATTTACTGAGATGTTTGTGTTGTTTTTTATGTCTTTAAGATTGAGAATGTTGCTTCATTGGATGCTCTGCAAGCATGAGACACAGCACAATGTTACAGACAGCAGGCTGTCTGAGACATGTGGCTGCTGTGGAAGAAAAGAAAGAAATCGTGGCAGACTACCTGCAATGGTATATTATTGGCCACAACTCATCTGTATTTGATAGGTAAGATCACTTTTTTTTTTTTTTTTTGTAGGTACGCAACTAACCCCAAATGAACATTTGTTTAGATGGATTGTAGTTGCCAAGAAGACAAATTCTAACTGTTTTCTTTGGATAATTTTTAATTAGCACTACACAGCAATGAAACAGTATTTGTGTTCACTTTGTAGGTTCTTTCAGTCCTTCAGTTTCTTACTGCACCACAGCAACACCCTTCTTTGCTGACTCCTGTCCTGTGCCACTCTGAAAAGCGACTCACTGGCTTTGAACTTGAGAGACTCTTCAAACCTGACCTCAGCCCTTCAGGGAGTAACAGGAGACTAAAAGAAAGTCAAACCTTGGCCTACTGGGCAGACTATCTTCTCGATTGTGAAGGTTTGTATGTGTTTTGGAACTACTTGGAAAACCAGATTACCCTGGTATGCCTGAACTTTTTTTTTTTTTTCCTTTGCAGAAGGCGAGGCTGCTGTGTCTGTGGAGGATGTTTTGATGTTTGCAACTGGGCTGACTTCACTTCCACCTTCTGGCTTGGAACCATCGCCACAAATAGAGTTCCTGGATGACTCTCCATTCCCAATGGCAAATACATGTTCAAACCTGTTGAAATTACCACTCCAAGATTCATGCAATGTGTTTAAGTTACAAATGGACTTTGGAATCCAAAATAGTCCAGGATTTGGCTGTTTATAAGCCATTTGACTGGAAAACCACTAGAGCATGGACTCTAAAAATGTTGTCTACTATCATTGGTGCACTGAAAGGTGCAGTTGCTTTTGTTAAAGAGGTTTATATCATGTTACAGTATGTGAACATGTTTTTGTCTCAGTCAATTGTTGTAGAGCCATGATTCTCAAACTGGTCTGTTTATGAATCATTATATTCGATTCAGAATGAAAATACTTAAAGTATTTCAAGAGATTTTGTTCACTATATTGCTTTATTTTTATTCATATATTTCCCACTTTGAAATAATGAAGCTGTGGGTGACAAATTCACTTTGTTTACATTTTCCACCATTAAAATAAACCTCTCTTCCATTCATAACTGAGCAATTTCTTTTAGTTTTAGATACAATTCAGTTGCAGACTGCCAGCACTCGGGCTTCTGTAAATGATTGTTCTCCATGGCTAAGTCCGAGTACTCCTGCATGTTTGCGTCCACACATGGAGCTCTTGTCAGGCGAGCCTCAGGAAAGGCATCCAGTTCAGCCTGTTCAATTTCAAATCCACAGTCTCTGGAGCCAAACCTATGTTAAAGAGAATACATCGTTATTTTTTTATTAAAATGTAAGCTAAAAGGAAAACAAATACAAGCATCAATCTATGACTAAAGTATTACCTGTGTGGTAAGTAGTAGAGCTCATTGGGCACTCCTCCTGGACATGATGATGTTCTCGAGGGGCGAATCCTGTGACTGTTCCATAATCTCACACACTCATCCAAATCCTTCTGGATAACATCACCAAAACAATATCTCAGTAGACACTGATGCTCATGACTCCCATTGAAGTATCCGGCATCTCTAAGATCTGCAAATATTTCCATCCAGAACTGACACCTATAGAAATTGATAAAATGTGATTTTAAGCATAAACATATGTTTGAATGAATGAATTAAATCAAAGGTTACATAATTGAATGATTAATGATGGCCGCTTACCTTCCCTTTCTGAAGATGGACCACCAGGACTCAATCCTCTGATTGTTTGTGGATGAGCCATACATGTAGCTGGATGCTCCAGAGAAGTAGTCATTGTGGTGGTGGCGTAGGGTGCACTGAACCATGGTCTAGTTCTCCGTGCCGCAATCAGTCCTCAGTCTCATGGGAGTGACACCAAGGTTTCATACACATGACAGAAAATAGTGTGCGATCACACTTGGGTCATTATTTGTTGTTCCACAAGTAAGCCACTGCACTCTACGTGAAAATCCATCAATACAGCCTGAAAGAGCCAAACCGAATGGCTTAAGTTTATCATAACCGTCCGCGTATCACATATAGTTCGGTCCCATGGAGTGATAGGTTCTTCTGACAAACCTTCTGCGTGCTCTCCTCTCACACCCTCGAGAATTGAGCTCCCGGAGCAAACTCATCACATGATCCCTCTTCATTCGCAGATTGTACTTTTGTTTAAGTACCTGCAACATCGTACGGTAGCCAAACAGCTGTCCAGGTCCACGAAGCTCCAGTCGGATGGCCCTCGTTAAGGCATTTGTACAAGAGTAATCCTTTCTCCGATACAACCTGGCTTCATTCAGTTTGCTTTTCAGAGACCTCAAGCTGATGTGAACATCATGTAAACATGACATCATGTCTACGATCACAGCTTACGAGTGTCCCTCATTAAAATATCTGATGCACTGCTGCAGCATACCTGGTCCTTCCGTCTGGTCCACGCCCCTTAAAAATTCTAAAGACTGACCACACGAAAAACAAAACCGCGTTAATCGGCTCATGTGTGTGCCACAAAACGGGCAAAACATCACTCGGTCGTGGTCCATCTTGAGTCACCATGAACTTCATAAATGACAACAGTAACTCTGATTGGCCGCTCCCCTTTACCATTTCCGGTTCAAGCCCAGAGTTGGTACATTCCCTTTCCGGTTGATTTTACTTGTAGAAGTGTTTTGGGAGTTTGTAAAAGTGTTTCGCCACTTGTAAATTTGTTTTCTGTATTGGAGTTTGTAAAAGTGTTTCGGCACCTGTAAATTTGTTTTGCACTTCTCGGCCACCGTAGGTTTTGGCTTAAATTTAGGTAAGTGTGAATTATTTGCATTAAAAAACAATGATATCACCTCAATCGATGATATATATGTGTTAAAAGTAGGGTAAATTATTTATGCATTACCATAACAAAAGAGCAGCAGGAGAGATGCTCTCTGAACCTTCAGCCCAGAATGAAAAAGGCTGAGAGCAGGTTTAACCAATGATTGCAGAGAGACGTGTGCTCCTATCCAAGGCTGAGGAAACTTCATGGCTCAATTATGCTGCCTCTTCTGTGGCTCTGGACAGTAAAACAATCAAAAAAATATTGATCAAATGTTATTTAACTTCTTGTGGAAGAATAGAATACATTACATCCGAAAATCTGTCGTAATCAATACCAGAAAGAATGGAGGGCTTGATCTTTTTGGACTTTGGATCATGATTCATCTTTATGGAACTTCATCCCCAAATTTGTATTTAACCAAATTGGTGGACTACCTTATTTGTTAGTGTGCAATTACCAGATTAATAAAATACCTCTAAAATTGTCAGAGTTCCATAACAGGTCTTACTTGCATGGAAAATAATCTACAAACACAATTTCTCCCCTCAGAAGTATTATCTATGGAACATCGGAGACATTTTACACAACATAAAGAGCCTCTTCCTTAGAAACTGGTTTGAGAGAGATATTCATACAGTCACTCAGTTGCTGAGCCCAGATGGCCTATTAATGTCTTATAAGGCGTTTATACAAAAGTTTTTTTTCTGGTTACAGTAAAAGAATTTTAGCAGGTAATTGATTCCATTCCTACAGGTGTTGTAAACCTGTACAGAGGCTCCTTTCAGCTGTGTACGGTCTCCGTGAGAAATCCGCTTAACTCTGTCTGTGGCAAAGTCTGTTTTGGATCACACAAAAGCAACAATAGAGCCACTCGGGAGCTGGTTATGAATGAAATCTCAGCAAAACCTTGTATCACCACCTACTGGGCCAAACTTAACATCAACATACCTTGGACCAAAGTTTGGTTGTTACCACACAAATATATGATCACTAACAAAGATAAAGAAGTGTCTTATAAAATATTACATACAATTTACCCAGTAAAGCATTTCATGCAGAAATTTAAGAATGATATTGATGTCAACTGTTCCTTTTGCTCGGTACAACCCCAAACAGTTAACCACATATTCTGGCATTGTAACTACACAAAAAGGTTATAGAAAGATATAGCAAAATATATCTCTGATAAGCTGTATATGAACTTTAATCTGTATTTGTTATTTTTGGCTTTCATCCTGATACTACAGAAAACCTGGATAAGGTTTTTGTGATTAACCTGGTACTACTTTATTCAAAGTTCTACATCCACAGAGCTAAATTTGCTGGCGATAAACCCATTTTTTCTGTTTTCTACAAGTGTTTTGAATTATATTTACAGTCCCTCACCCCACTAGAAAATAAGAAAGCCATTAAAACAAAGAGCATTTGTGAGAAGTTTGGTATTGGTAGGTGATTGGCTATTGTTATGTTGGTGCTATCTTCACAGTTGCTATTTATTTAATTATTTGTTCATTTGTGTGTTTGTTTTTTTTCTCTCTCTCTTTCTTTTTTCTGGTAATTATGGTTGCAGGACTGGGTTTGTGCATTTTGGTTGTGGATTATTTTTGTTTTCCTCTTGCTATTTCTTTTTGTTTGGGGGGGGAGGTTATTTTGTTTCTGTGCCTGTGTGTTTGTGTTTGTAATTGTATTGGTTGAGATCTGTAGTTATGTGAATTTTTTTTTTTTTAAACTCTTGGAGCTGTGGCGGTGCGCTGGCCGTGCAGGGTAACCACATGATTTGATTGGCTCGACTGAGTGGCGCTATTGCCGTATTAACTGGAGTAGCAGCCACATGAGTGTGTATGTGGCTCGAAAAACTTTTCGTGATCATATGACCTTGGGCCGGGCTCTGATTGGCAGCTGCAGATTTTATCACGGGGCGCAGCTCAGTGTGTCCCAGACCCTTCCACTTTTGCTGTAAGCCAACTAATTTTGTCTTTATTTGCTTTTGTCTTCTGTGGTTGGATATCAAAACTGTCCTTTTGTCGTTCTTACAACTGCGCTTTCTGACACCGTCACACGGCTTTTCCCCTCTTCTTCTACTAGATGACAGCTACTGTCGTGATGGCTTAATGCTGTCAATGGAGAAAAGACTGGTCACAGGGATGAGTGACTATAGCCAAAAAGTAATAGAGAAGTTTGCTGAGCAGAAAGAGAAAGACAATTTTTTTGCTCAAATACAAAGGCTCCAGACTGCATTTGCGACCTTTTTTTGAGAGTGTGTCAATTGATAAGCAATATGATCATGAAGCTGTATTAGTGTCGCTGTAACCGGCACAGGAAGCTGCTGTGTTAACCACAGTGGTGGAAAGTATAACTTTTATAACTTCGATGTACTGCAGCAGTTATGCTTAAAAACGAGGTCTTCTCATGAAAAACGGAGTACAACTGCATTCGCTGTTTTTCCGCTCATAGAAAAGACCGCGTGTAGAATACATGTAATTCAGTTTCATCTCGGACAAATCTGACATGAGAACGTCCTAGTTTATTATTTTTAAAGTCATTTTGGTCGCACATCTGTCTGTACACACCACAGCCACCAACAGCAGCTGCGGCAGCCTGCTATAGGGGGCGTTCAGGGAACATCAGTAAATCGTATCGTCTATTGATAAGAAAATGTTCAGGAAGTCATACCTTTTGCCTTTGACCAGGTGGGAGGTGCGACAAAATGAGAAAGTGGGTTGTACTGGTTCTACCAGTGAATAAGTTAGTCTGGAGCCCTGAATAGTGTTTTTTTTGTTTTTGTTTTTTTTTTCATTATTAATGTTGTGTGTTTTGAGTTTGTACAGATCCTGTAAATATTGATGAAATTTTGATGAAGGATTTTGAAATTTAGTTCTGGTAAGTCTTAATAATGTTAAATTAGATTATGATTAGAATATCCTCCAAAGGTAGAACATTTGCATTTGTGTAAATGCCTGATGTTACTCATATTCTAATTTCTGATTTAAAATAAAAGGTCATTTGCAGACTGCGCCC